GGGGAACAGAGGCAATAGCGGAAGATCTTGAATGTACAGATGCTAGCTTACTCTTCATTTTTGGATCAACTACACAGATACTGTTTGATAGCTTTCTCAAAAATTGCATGCCATGCACCTCCTCAGATTTACTTCAGCCTTCTGGTTTGTTTCACCATCTGTGTGGATCGCCTCGCTCAGATTTTGTAAGCATGGGGATGTTAATAAAGGACACAGGCTTAGCTAGTGTTTGTTTAGGATATTCACTACAGTTTCAAATTTTGCTTAATTCTACTTTATAATTTTACTAGGGGTTGGATCCTCCTAAGTTGCCAGTTTAATTAATTTCCATATGGCACAATATCAGATGTTTCACAGAAATGGAGGTAGATTTGATTTTCGTTATCCTTCTCCCTTCCTTTAATCTGACCCTTATCTTCATCAAGTACTGACCCTAATAATGCTTTTTGTTGGTAGGCAGTAAAAGATATTTTGCTATCTAATTTCAGTTACCTTTCCAGGGTGCAACCCAGTTTATTCCAGCTCTTGACTTCTACAACATACCTTCCTTCCCTACTAGTTTTTTTCACTTACCTTTTGTTTGGCGCTCTATTTTAATATGGGTTTGACCCTTATCTTCATCAAGTACTGACCCTAATAATGCTTTTTGTTGGTAGGCAGTAAAAGATATTTTGCTATCTAATTTCAGTTACCTTTCCAGGGTGCAACCCAGTTTATTCCAGCTCTTGACTTCTACAACATACCTTCCTTCCCTACTAGTTTTTTTCACTTACCTTTTGTTTGGCGCTCTATTTTAATATGGTTTTTTTTGACATATAGGTATGCTTGGAGCCATGGCCTGAAAGTTCCCCCACATCTATGCAAAATGTTCCATATAGTTTTGTACCTTTGTCTTCAAGAAATTCCAGTCCTCCTCCCTTCTCAAGACCTCTGCCGGTTGACTTCATTAAGTAGCCTCCCTAACTTTTCAGAATTAAACCAAATTTAAAAAAAAAAATCAATATTTAAATTTTTCAAGTAAGTGTTATTAATAGAGCTGCAACCTTGCTGTTCTTAAAAAAAAAAAATCCTCTCTTTCTCTAGCTTGCTCTTTGCCCCACCTATAAGAGACTTCTATAAAACAAATGAAAAATTTAAACCCCTGGAAACTAGTTCTTCTTGCCCTGAAGGCTGCTAAAATTATCACAATTATTCAAGCAGCCTTAATTGTTGACAGAAGTTTTTGTTTGTTTTATATAGCTACCGTATTTCATTTAGAAACTACTAAAAATATAATGATCTTAGAGACAATCTGCTTGAAATGACAATGTATACTGGGGCTAAATTTTTACACTTTTTTTCCTGCTGTGTTCGTTATCTCTTCTAAAACTGGTTACATGACAAAATCAGTATTCAGTGCTAAGGGTTTCTTTTCTGAATTAATTTTCTACTTACGTCCAATGTGCACAGAACCATTTCCATCAAGTATTCATACATCACTTCTTTGCTAACTTTTCTTCTGGGAGATCAGAGGGGAAAAGTAGGCACATATGTTTGTTTCATATGTAAATACCATGTCAAGACTGCAGGTTCATCAGAACAATTAACTGTACCTTTGATGAGGGGACCTTTTCCTATTGCCCCCTCGCTGCCTCTTCTGGCCTGGATTCCAGGACGAGAGGAAGAAGAACCTGAGCTGTTTGTCAGGCTCCATGGTGTACTACTGTAGATAACGGACTTTTTTTTTCTTTGTTTTCTGTTCAACTAATACACATATTATGAAGGAGGAAATTTTCTTTGGGAGAGAATTTGGTGATAGAAGTTCCAACACTTTGAAGTATAGTTATTTGGTGTAAAACAACTCATTTCAAATGTTCCCCCTTGTTGTCTTGTCATACAAGCTGTTTTCTTCTGGTATTTTGTGTCTTCTCCAAGATACCAACACCTGCACTTGGCATCTAGGATTGAAAATGAGAATAAATTAGAAGTGGAGCTAGGTTAATTAATTTGTCCTCAGTAAGGTTGGTGGGTTGGGGTTTTTTATTATTTTTTATTTTTATTTGAAAATACTTTCTGGAAGATGTCTATGGTTGGCTGAGAGCCATGTATGTAGGAGGCAGGTCCAATGTGTTTGAAGAACCTGTTAACACGTTAACATGGTTAACTGTAAGAAAGTGAGTCCCCATCCCTGGAGGTATTTAAAAGACGAGTAGATGAAGCACTTAGGGACATGGTTTAGTGGGTGGTGGTGTTGGGTCGATGGTTGGACTCGATGATCTTAGAGGTCTTTTCCAACCTCAATGATTCTATGATTCTATGATAAAGCAGGAACAAGAGGAAGCTAACACGTCAAATAACATTGTTTCTGTCACCTCTGTCAATTTATGATTTGTTTATGGGGTTGTGCTGCCCATTCTTAAACAGAAGTAAGTGCTTAACCAAAGAATCACTTCCTTTTCACCTGTTAACAGAGTCACAGTAAGCTGGTATGCACAGAAGATGTGGTGTTTGCCATCTTCGGCTGCCCGAAGTTTCTGGCCTTCCCTGATACCTTTTACAATGTTGTCTGACTTTTCAAAATATCAATTCAATGTTAAGATTTTTCTGAACATATGCAAAAGGTCTCTCGTAGAAGCTTCCCAACAGTCTATATCATCTCAAGGTTCATTGGAATAGTCCATATGTGATTTATTATTACATCTTCATGGTTTCTTTGTATTAAACACTTAATGTGAAATTCAGTATTCATTTGTTAACATCTGTTTTGTCAGAAGAGAAATAGCCGATGAAATTCTAAGTGTATTTTTTTGCATCTCCTATTTATATTCTGGATCTTCATAAAGATAGAACTGTAATGACAACTCTCAATTTAGCAAACATCCCCTATGAGAAGAGAACAGACAATACCTCATTATTATTGTAAAATGAGTCTTGTTTCAATGAAATGTCTTGGAGAACTGTTGTACTTAAAGTGTGATGCCTGATTTTACTTGAGACAGACTACAGAGCTACTGTAAGCGTTACTCGAACGCAGGTGAATTCTCCCAGTGATGCACATACACTTGGCCTCAGTGCAGCAGAACCCCATAACTTGGGAAGGAAACAAATGATCAGGAATATTTTTTTCAAATATTATAGCTGGACTCCGCAACAGCTCTTGTGGGGTTTTTTTGGCAATGAACTCCCAGGTGATCACGGTAACCGCAACAGAGAACCTACAACCTTTTTCACAAGTCACCTCTTTCCCCTAATTTCCCTCTATTACCTTGTACGTGTAGCATTAGATGGAAGATGGTGAAAATACTTACGTGGCACAAAAAATTAGCTCTTGGGGAAAAGGCGTGTGAGAATTAAGTATCTCATGCAGAGTGGCTGTGTGCATGTCTGGCTCTTGGGACACAAAGTCCAAAGCCATTTTCATGAATGATTTTACCCTTAAACACAGAGGGGAAAAATTTACCTGAAGTGACAGGTTGACTTTAAGTTCAGTTCTGGAAGCTGCAGAATACCTGCCGAGATATGTTCTACACACTTGGATTTGGTTGTTTCATGATGCTAATGTCTCAATTTAGCAAACATCCCCTATGAGAAGAGAACAGACAATACCTCATTATTATTGTAAAATGAGTCTTGTTTCAATGAAATGTCTTGGAGAACTGTTGTACTTAAAGTGTGATGCCTGATTTTACTTGAGACAGACTACAGAGCTACTGTAAGCGTTACTCGAACGCAGGTGAATTCTCCCAGTGATGCACATACACTTGGCCTCAGTGCAGCAGAACCCCATAACTTGGGAAGGAAACAAATGATCAGGAATATTTTTTTCAAATATTATAGCTGGACTCCGCAACAGCTCTTGTGGGGTTTTTTTGGCAATGAACTCCCAGGTGATCACGGTAACCGCAACAGAGAACCTACAACCTTTTTCACAAGTCACCTCTTTCCCCTAATTTCCCTCTATTACCTTGTACGTGTAGCATTAGATGGAAGATGGTGAAAATACTTACGTGGCACAAAAAATTAGCTCTTGGGGAAAAGGCGTGTGAGAATTAAGTATCTCATGCAGAGTGGCTGTGTGCATGTCTGGCTCTTGGGACACAAAGTCCAAAGCCATTTTCATGAATGATTTTACCCTTAAACACAGAGGGGAAAAATTTACCTGAAGTGACAGGTTGACTTTAAGTTCAGTTCTGGAAGCTGCAGAATACCTGCCGAGATATGTTCTACACACTTGGATTTGGTTGTTTCATTTGATGCTAATGGTGTTCCATGCTTTGTTGGATTAAAGAAAAGTGCAAAGACCGAGTCTTTGTATTTGCCTAGCTGCTTTCGATTGAGTAGTATGAATGAAGATTTAAAAGTAACCCGATGTATAAGTGTGTATCGTATAATTGTAAAATTACGGAATCACAGAAGGGCTGAGGTTGGAAGGGACCTCTGGAGGTCGTCTGGTCCAACGCCCTGCTCAAGCAGGGCCAGAACTGTATGATAGTTTACATTGAGCATGGACCATATCTGGAAAAAATAAACCAAAAGACAAAATAGGTCATTGCTTTCTATATAAGACAGCAATTTATATCAAATAAAAATTGCAGTAGGTAAAAAGGACTTTTTGACAAACTAGCATTTCATAGCAAACCATTTATGGTTCTGATTCTAGCCTCCACATTTTAATTTTAATAGAGAAAGTGTAATGGTACGAGCATGTATCTTCTTTCTTTTCTTATATTAAGATTTCATACAGCCATTTTTATTTAGGAAACTTCAGCAGTTAGAGACCTAATTCCATAAAGCTATTTACTCTAATTATACTTTATATAACCTTTTTTTTTCCCAGAGAAGTACAGTTTAAAATGAAAAATAGCTTCATATTTGATTTAATGTTTGCTTTGAAATTAAGGGGGGGGGGAAATCAAGATTTTACTTAGACATTTCTTTCTTCTTTGTTGGCCCAACTGTTGCCACATTTATCCACTAATAGCAGAATTTTTGATAAATCTTTCTTGTTTGTTTTTGCACAGAGAGTTTGGATGGCGAGATCCAGAGCTTCCAGAAGTTATACAGATGTTACAGCATCAGTTTCCCTCAGTACAGTCCAATGCTGCAGCCTACTTACAACACCTCTGTTTCGGAGACAATAAAATAAAAGCAGAGGTAAGATTTATAAACCCTTCTTTCAACAGTGATGCTGTCCGCCATTTATCATCACCAATTATTTATATGTACTTTAAAAACTTACAAAAGAAATCATGTATATATGTCTGGACCCATTTTACTCACGCTTTCACTTAAGTGATTTGTTACCATTAGAGAAAGTAAAAAATGCATAAAATATTATTGACACTCTTTTTTTTTTGTTTGGTTTTGAATATTTTGATCAATTGCATACCATTTAAACGCTGTATCAGTAGTTGTTCAGTAAACAGCTAGTGGTATAGTCTTGATCCCACTGAAGCATACGGGCATTTCCTTAGGATTTTCAGAGAAATATGTTTGGACACTAAATACAAACACAGAAGATGAAAATTAAGCAAAATGATTCTGAATCAAAGCCTGCTTTAATGTATAATTGTGTGAATAGAGTTTAATTTCACTGGTTTGCAGCTTGAACGGTGATCGTTGGTCTGTGATCTTGAAATTCAGTGCGGATTGTATCTAAAATTCAAACAGCAATGTAGACTTTGTTCTGTACCTGTAGCTGATCGGTACTTCTTGCTTGCTTGTTCCCTGTGCTTAATGGGACCAGTTCAGCTTTTGGCACAAGTTAAAACAGAAGGAAGGCAGCTCCGGGGATCTGACAAACACACAGGAGTCAATTAAAATTGAATGAGTGAAGCTGTTACCAGCCCCAGCTGCCTCCCCTGGCTCTCTCGGAGATACTGCTAATCAGGGACATGTGTTGTGCACATAAATCTGTGCCTGTACTGGCATCTTTTAGCCTGGCACGTAAAGGTAAACTGAGATCAGGATCTGCTACTGCTTATTTGTCAGAACTGTGCAGTGATGCTGGCTTGCTAGTGCTTCGTTATCCTCACCCTCAGCACATACCACTCCGTGGGTCTATCTGGCTACAGCAGCTTTCCCTTCTAGGCTTTTTCATGCTGAGGAAATTCCCGAGTGAGTAAGTAAGTATGTGGTCTGCTGGCACTGGCAGAACTGCACTGGTTGCGTGCATCACCTCAAACATCGTAGAAATAATAATAAAAAATTTACATGAATGTTAAAATAAAGAATGTTTTTGCTCTGGGAAAGAGAACTCTTGTTATAGGTATTGCTGAAAATTTTAAGTGCGCACTCTCCCCATACTCTTTTCTCATCCTTATTCACAAATTAGTTTTTCAATAAAAGAATTGATTAATCTCTGAAAAAGGCAGTTAAATGATTGGAGCAATTTATTCATTGTACAACCTGTGCTTCCTCCTGTTAGCCATAGATTGAGAGCCCTTAGGTAGCTATCACATTTGAGAGAAGATGGTTTGATTTTCGTTGCTAACCATTTAGGGAAAAAGAAGACTGATTGTTGTTGATCTAACCCATCCCACTAGGACATCAGCCTTTGTAAGCTTCAGGCTCACGAGCTGGAAGGGTGAAGGTAAGTATATAAAACAATAGAGCACTAGGCAGCTCTCTGAGCTTCTTCTCTGAAAAAGGATAACAGATAAATTGAGGATTTCCCCCCTTCATTTGTTATTATTCAGGGCTTTGATATATTCCTCACTCCATAATACTTAAACTATCTTTGGAAACAAGCCAAAATACTTTTTTTTTTAAAAAAAATCCACCTGAGAATATGCTTTCAGATTTCTGGCACTGTGGATTTTTCTAAGATGACAAAAAATGAGATGTACTGTCTACTTTTCTAATGCTTTGTAGAGCTTTTTAGACTAAAGCATCCAACATTAGCAAACTATTTTATCTCTGTATCTATCTATCTACCAACCTATAGTTATTTAATTATAGGTCCTGTTGTGTTTAGGCCATGATTCAGGAGAGCACTTAAACAGTTTCTGTGTTTGTTTATTGGAATCAGGATCTACCCAAAGGGATCGGGAGTGCGCTTAGGGGTCTGCTTGAGCTCTCCACTGAATACAAATTTCTTGAGGATCCTTTTGTGTGAGGAGTTAAAAATCCTGTCAATAAGGGGATATCACAGCAGATATCCCAGATTCTTGCTAGGCTTATACCCAGCCAGAGGAACTTGAGTGGTGCTGTTGAACCCACCTGGGACAACTCACGTGCTGTTAAGGGTGTGTCTGAATTATGAGTTAAACGAAGACCTAAATAATAGGAACTGATACCAAAATTCACTCTTCTGCAAAGTATTTGTCTTGCCATTGTGTGTTGTGGCCAGTTCTCCTCTGTATGAGAACGACCACATTTAAGATCCGATTCCTTCTTCATGGAAAGCAGGGCACTAGTTCTGCTGCACGCGGTCGCAGGGAGATGCACCAGCTCAGACACAAGGTGCAGGGAAGAGAAGCACCTTGACACATCCTAATTTTTATTTTCCTTGCAACCTCTTGTCAAATTAGTAATTACGAATTTTGGAAGTCCAACTGTAAGTTTGAGATTACAAAGCTGAAAAATTCCAATTCTTTTGAAGCACAGAAAACTGTGCTCTTTTACCAAATGCCTAGCTTCAACATAGCAAATGACTTGGACTAAAGAAAGAAAATTGTCCTGGTGGTCTTTCAAACCCTGGAGAAAAGACAAACATAGGAACGTGTACGGTAGCAAAACTGCTGGTATTTCGTACGCCTGACAGGCACTGAGGAAAAAGCAAACTGAATTCAGTAAATAGTGTTAATGTGTAACATGCACCTGAACATACGCATGCACACATGCACAGAATTAATAATATTATGCAACAATTTATTTACTGGTTGCATTGAATTTGAAATGTAATACAGTTGTTAAAATTTCAACTCTGGAGTTATCTGACAGAAAAAAAACAACATTCATTTACCTTTATCACTAACGAGCATCAAATTGTCACCCTGCAATTAATGACTATTTTATCCAGAGTTTCTGGAAATAACTGTCCTGAAATACTTTTTTTGATTCTTTTAAGCATGATTTATACTGTATTGCCTACCAAAAAGGTGATTAATGATCTGTCGTCTGAACCTGACCATTCTTTCAATCTTCCAGTTTTGTTTTTGTATAGTTGTAACCTTGTCATAAGGGTTTAGTAGGATTTGTATAAAATTTCTCCTCGTGTACTTGGTACGACAAAGGCCTTTATATTCCTTTTGAGTAGAACAGCGTCAACTAAAAGTTAGACAGAAACGGAAAATAGTAGCTATGACTGTATGCATTTCTGACATTCCTGACACCTTTTATGGTCTTGCCATTACGTTTTTCTCTTCTAAAATATTTTAATTTCTGTGGCTGAAGTGTGGAACACTACCCCTTGCTTCCTCTGTCCCCCCCAAGAAAAGGAAGTGGAAATACTCTATAGAAGACAACTATGAAAAAGAAATTCAGTCAAAAACGTTTGAAGTATGGCTAGGGAAACAAGAGATGTTTTTCCTTTCATGACCATGTTCTTTATGGTAGGTGTTATTTCTAAAACACGTGTTGATCACAGGCGTACTTCTGAATTTGATGACATCATTCTAAATGTACCTTTGTTGCTACATAAGCTTAAACACCCTGCTCAGTCTTTTATGTAGCAATTCTCTCAGACCAATGAGGTCTGCAAATGCCCTTCTCTAACTTAAAGGACTTTCAAACAAAGCTAGTAACTGCTTATGTTAAGATGCCCCAGGCTGGCTACTAAGGTGTCAGAAGTCATTTACTTTTTCACAAAAAAACTTCTAGAGTGAATTAGGTTTTATATTTCTGGTAGAATTTTTATTTTTCCCCTTCCAGCCCTGAACATACCAGTACAGTGATAGGTAAATGCGATAAACACTGACCGTTGATAAAGATGGTGTTATTATTTCTTGCAGATGCTGCCACTTCTATGCTGCTCAAAACCATTCAGTGCTAGTCTTTATTTAAAAGTATGATTGTAACTGCTGCTCTTACCTGAAAGTTTTCCACAAGTGCTACTTCTGAGTCTCCTTAAGCATTGCTGACTGCAAGGCAGGCACTACATCTGCTGTCAGTAGCGCTTCTCATTCTCTACCTTTATTCCCTGTGCTTGGTGCTTAGGTGGTGCGGCAGACATTAGAATGGAGTTGAAGAAATTGGATTAATTTTGCTAATGTCTGATCGCTGGATTTTTCATCTCCTGTTGAGCAGTGACCAATCCTCACTGAAAATGTCACATATGTGAAAGGGGACATAGGAAGGCAGAAGGCTAAAGGTTGTAAAAATTGCCAGACAGCCCATTACAGTTAGGCATAATAATTCTGAAATTCAGAATCTCAGGATACTTTAGCGATTCATTGTATAAATTATTGTTTCATTGATGACAGTGAAGAATGCAACTAAAAGGCAAAAGGAAAGGAGGGAAGAAGTTTTGATCAGATATTTGAAGGCAGATGAAAAGTTGATCAGGCAGAAGAGCACAAGAAGGCCCTTTCAGATGGCATTTTCTCCTTAGGAGAGGGCTCTTACGCCAACAATGGTGAAATTGTGAGCAGAGCCGCAGTAGCTGGTCCTGGATGCCAAGAAGGAACAGGCAGGGGATATAGGAAGAGCGAAGCGTTTTAAAATAGTAAGCAGAGAACATTTCTTTAAAAGAGCACATTCTATTAAACACAGGATTCATTCTTCCACAGCAGTTTTTCTTCCTATAATGACAGCTTACTCCTTTGTATGAGGTCACCATATAAAAGGATTGAATTGTGCAGTTTCACACGCCAACACTATTTTGCTCTCATGGAAGATGGCAGCCTGCCATCAGCTGCAAAGGTGTAACAGGTCACTTGGGGGTTTTGGCACCAATGACTCCTTTCTGCAAGCTAGGAAATTAATTTTTGCTATCAAAGCCACAGCACTTGAGGTTCTCATCTCAGGAAAATTGTGCAAAGATGCCAAATAGAAGAACAGTAACTACTGACCTGTCCTGCCTGAAGCCTTCCCTTGCATCCTTAATAAAGCTCGCTGGATCAGACAGTTTCCTCTTCATCCTGGAGAGCATTCCCATATACTCACTTCACACAGTCTTAGAAAAGTATCAGTCCAGACGTTATTGCATGGTG